TTGGAAAGCTGACTGCGTGGCCCCAAACACCTTCGAAGTGATGTTTTGCTGCGGCTGCTTGGCACCTTCCGGGATCTTATCCGTGACTCTGTTGACGTTTCGATCATGGTCCTGTGCTGGTGAAGCACTGCCTGTGGGTGAGTTTGGACCTGAAGTTGCTTGCATTGCCGCTGAGAAGACCGCGGTGCCAGCCATGGCTTTGGGACTCAGGTTGCCAAATCTGGCATGGGCTTCATGGGCCGTCTCTGCGACCTCGACCCCCTCAAGGTCTGACAACGGAGCAGGCAAAGCTCCGGTTTGATCCCCCAGCAGCTCCTGCGCCCTGGACGACTGCCTGAGGATCTGCATCCACCTTAGCATCTGAGATGATCCGATGAGCTTCTGCCGAGTGTGAGACAACCCCGGGGACCCGGCCTGTCAGAGAAACTGAGCGCCTTCAGACACTCGTCGATGCGCCTCTGCCGAACTGGGCTTCGTCGCCGCAACCTGATGCCGGTTCGGAGGTGACCTCTCTTCCTGCCTGCACCTGCCTAAGATGCCTGGGACGACCTGGATCCTAGCCGAATACGATTGGCGCGTCTCCCGCCCCCTTTCCGCCGGTGTTTTATGTGTTGCACCTTGCCACACCTAGCGCGCTAGAATGCAGTGGAAGTGGAAGCACCGAAACCGAGTTGGTCCCAGCTGCGTCAAGAGAAAGAGCCAAGCAGTCTCGATGCTGTTGTCTGGGCCATGTAGCTTGGAGTCCAAGCTGCCGTTCCTCACTAGTTGACCACTAGCGTTTTTCATGGGAGGTTATACGGAAGAACGGAGGAGTGCGGAGAGCAGCCCCAGCATCCGGGGAGCCGGCCGGCCGCTTTGGAGGAGAGATCGCCGCAGCAACTCGAAGATGGTCTCGCGGCGATTCTCCCAGGATCTGCGGAAACGCAGAAGATCCAAGGATATACCTACCGATCTACCCTTAGAGACTGCAGAAAACCCGCAGCCCTTAGAAAGAGAAGCGCCTGGGATTGCTCATGATGTCAGACACTTCACGAAGCACGTCCGCCAACGAGATGTCGCTCGAGCTCGGGGGAAGGGCCATGGCAAATGGTATAGCGGAAGGTGGTATGGCACTGATATTTAGGGCTCCTATCAGACTACCAGCCGTTGCCCTAGAGACAATGACGCATCTCATCAACAACATGGAGAAGACGATGCCCCTAAGATGAGATCTCACATCTCAGTAAAGCCGGGCTGCGGCTTGATGCACTCGAGGCAACAGGCAGAGATCGCTTCTGTCCAGCTCGGCTCCAGATTGGCAAAGCTTAATGCCTCCTCGGCAATGGAGCTGGCCCGCTGGCCACCGCCCTCGGCTTCAAGGGGAGAACCGACGCACCCTCCGGTGGAGCTCTGCTCCCCCCGACCTGCTCTGGACCATCTAAGGACTTTGTCTGCTCGCAGAGCCACCTCAAAGCACCAAAGCGCTTCCACGACGGACGACTCCTTTGCAGAACATCTCTAGCCCACCTAAGCATGAAAAAGGAAGGGTCGTCGGGGCGCTCCAGAAGAACTGCAGTCACCAGCGCCTGCACGGCGACCGTCTCCAACATAACAGTTCCACCCGGGCGCGCATACATGAGGCCTCCAACACTGGATTCACCTTCTCCTGTATGTACCTGAGCTCAGGACTCTCTCTTTCATGAGGTCCTGGGACCGTCGGGGTCCGAATCCTCATGCTAATCTCAGAGAGAGCTGTGGGGCCCCGCATCAGGTGCTCTTGAGCAGACCTGTTCACGAACTGTGGCCTGTCCGACCTGGCACAAAGCAGGGCACAGAGGGGTCCAAGGCCCCCCGCGCAGCCGTAAAGGTGATGAATGCGAGAGGTGCGGCGACACGCAAAGCATGCCAGGTGCCACATGTCTCAGGAAGGACTCGCTGCGATCCCAGGAGCCATGATCCTGTTCGCCTAACTACAACGCTGAGCCCAGAAGGAGGATTCGGGTGAAGCTCTTGAAGAAATAGAAATGCCCCACGACGCTCTGCGAGCTCGACGCTTTCTCCGACGGCTGAGTTGCTGAGTGGCTAAAGCGGCTAACGCGGCTAATGGAGGTGAAACGCCACGAAAGCCGTGCCGAGGCGTGAAGTCTCAGACTTGCTTCCAAGTCCTCGAGGGCTTCCTCTGCTCGCTACTCCTCAGGCTTGTCTCTCACCGTCGGCCCTTCTTTTTGCCTCCACCTTGTTTGCTGCGCCGCTTGGACCCGCTCTTCCCGCTCGCTTGCGAGCGCGCCTGGGTCTGGCTGAAGGCTTGGGCTCTGCCGCATCTGCCGCATCTGCCGCACTGCCCTGCATCTGACTGGGCCCCTTGGGCCCCTTGGGCCCACGGCATCGTTGCGGCGCTCCCGCGTCACGCCAACCTGTCGCGGGTCTCATGCACGGTGTTGTCAGAACGGCACCAGGCCTTGGCGGCTTTGTGTTTGTCGATGTAGCCATCGCCGGACAGCACGCGACCCACTGTCTTCAAGTAGCTGTCCTCGCACCCCCCCCCTTTTGTGGATACTTCCGAGTCACTCGCAGAAGCGGCTCCTTCTCAGCGTTGCTGCTGACGGGCGCAATGCCCTTCTTGCGTGTGGGCTGCAAGTTTGTCGCCTTCTTCTGGGAAGCATGATGAAACACCATGAAACGTCAGAAAGATGGCTTGCGAAGTCCCTGACTCGCCTCGTTCGGCGCTATCCTGTCAAACTTGCCGTAGGAGGCAGACGACACCTGGAGAGCGGTCCAAGACAAACCTCGGTCACCTTTCTTGCAGAACTCGGCAAGCCTGTGCTCGTTTCACAGCCTCCCTTAGCCCATCCTTCCCTCTTTTCCTGAGATGAAGTGTCTCCCAAAGCGCAGATGGCGCAGACAAGTGTCGAGCGAAGGCGCCAAGTGAGTGACTGAGGCTATGTCTGGCTGCCCACGAGGTCAGGCACTGAGGCACGAAGTTTGCCTCGCGGCGAGCTCTGTTGCTCGTGCTTGCTCCTGTCCCCGCAGCTGAAAGTACAGGTTTGCCTCCGGCGGCCTCCACTTGGTTTCGAACCTGGTGATGGCAGCCGTCACTGCCCATGCTCTCAGTCTCGTGCACTTGCGGCCGGGTTGCTTCTCGCATCTTCTGTCGGGCTTTCACAAGTCTTTGCTCCGCCTTGGCCTCAAAGACTCCGAACATCCGCGGAAACATACCAAATACCACGAATTCACCAGAAATTGCTGATGCCCGAGCCAACTAACTCCAAAGACGAGCCAGATCCCCCGAAGAACGACTTGAGAAGAGAAACGACTAGGGCTCGGAAACCAGGCATGCCGATGTTGCAAGAAAGAGAACTCGAGAGGTTGCGCACTGTTTCCTTTGTTGAACAGTCCTGCTACTTGTAGCACAAGTTAAGCAGGACCCAGTCGCCGTGCAGAAAGCTATTCCAAATTTCTGGGCCCCGGCTTTGTCAAAGGGATTCTCGTTGGGATCCTCGTGTTGGCCAACCTCGCACACGCCCCCAGCCAGCAAAGGCGGGCGAGGCTTTGTCCCCTGCCTCGTGCACCCAGTTCGCCTTGTCCTGAGACTTCTTGATGCTCTTGTAACCTGCCGGTGACGTGTCGGCCAAGCTGGCGCCCCTGGGCCCTGCGCCCATTTGGGCCCACTGAGCCCATGGCCCCAGCGAGGCTTCCAGTCCCCTTCGATCTGAGCGCGGGGGCAAAGACCCGGGAGCTGGGAGAAGCGATCTGAAGGCGGGAGATGTGGGCGGCCTCGTCCCAGACCAGCCGACTTCGCTTTCGCTTCTTCATGTTCCTTTCCTGAGCTTTTCACCCCCCGGGACTTCCTCTGCTCGCTGTGTGGCAGGAAATGGACCTCCATGAACTTTTGCCACCTTGTCTTCGGCTTCTCCTTCGGTATAGGCTTTGACCGGGGTAGCCGGAATGTCTCCTGAGGAATTTGGGACCGGCATTGGCATCGCAGGGCTCTCCAAGGCGCGGGGCCTCTGCAGGGAGTGACACCATTGTCCCTTCGTCACCCTGACACCACTAGCCATCGGACCACTGCGCTTCTCTCCGGCGTTGGCTCTGTTGGCTCCCTTCGGCCTGCGTCCTCGGCAGCATGAAGAGCTTGTTGATCAGGAGCCTTCAGACCGCACCGCCGTACCGCTTCGAAGAGTCATGCTTTCTCTTCTCTCCGATTTTGGCATGGCCCAGTCCAACTCTCCTCACCAGACTCGCGATTCTTGACACCATCTGAAGTCGCACTCAAAGCTCTCCAAGCTCTCACATGGGATCATCTCTCTCGGGTCAGTCCACTGACCCCTGGAACCGCTGCCATGCGGCCTTCATAAAGCAAACAAGAGGCCGTCTCTCCTGGTTCACCAAATCTTCTCTTTCACTTCACCCAACCCTGAACCAGAACGTCCGTGCACTGTGCCCGTGAACGGCCGGGGGTCGGGATAAAGACTAAAACCTGGGTGATGCCGTGCATTGCTTTTGGAAACAGGACTGCTCTGGACTCCTGTCTCCTAGCCCGCTCCCCAGACCAGCAGAGATGCGAAAAACAGACAGAGTCAGAACAACCTTCCATACCCTCCTTGCCTCGAACTAGATCCGCAGACCCCCGGGGGCGGCGCCCAGAAGCTGTGTTGTTCTGGCTCGCTGAATCACTTAATTCTAATTCTACTCCAATGCATGCCCAGCCCTGCCAAACCTTTGCAGACCGCACCGTGCAAGGCTCGGTTTGCATGTGTAGTTTAGTGGTAATGGTAGTTGAGTCGTCATTTAATTCGACTCCAATGCATGCCCAACCCCCCAAAACCCAGTTGCCCCACACCGCCCGAATGTGTGTCTGGAAGTCCGACCGCTTTCATACTGGCTTCTTGTATTGCCGTTGTGCCAGATGCGTACGTAGACACCTACATGCATGGTGTCATCTCCAATTTCCCCAGCTCGGGACCCCGGCTGAACAGAATCCCGGCTGTAGGCTGCAACATCCATGGCAGAAGACCTCAACAAAGACGGACAGCTGCATAGGCGGAGGCAGCCTGCATGCACAGGGTCCGCACATGGGCGAGATGTCGTAGGCCGCCATGTTCTTGAGATCATATGCGAGGTTGTCTTCCCTCGATGCCTGTCAAAATGGGGCACTCTGATCGACTTTTTCTGTTTCGTGTGAGCAGTCTCTGCTTCCCCCGGCCGTAGGGACAGGTACGGCATCTTCCTCCGAGCCAAGCATTCTGAGCCGGAAGCTTCTACCGGGCGCTTCCTTCGACTTCGAGCCACGAGAAACGAACGAGTTCATGCCAAGCTTGCAGAGATGCAGAGACGGGCACCGCGGACCGGAAAAGGAAGCGCACAAAGGACTTGGCTTGGCGGGACCGCTCCTCTTTGTTTTCATCGCCAACACCGCAGGCCGAGAAGCGCCTTGAAACGACGAGGCCTCCCCGGGTCTGGCGACGTCTGGACATCTCAGGTCCGACTCACTTTTTCTCAGAAAATTGCTGGCACAGGCGCAACTCCTTGTGCTGCCTACACATCCGCGTGAAACAGAGGCAACGACATTGAGTGTGGACAAGACCACAAAGCTAGAGATGTTGGACACATCCGCACCGGCACGATCGCGTAGAAATTGGAAGCTTGAGCGTTGAGGCGCTCATGCCGCAAGCTCCAGATCACTTTGGCTTTCCCTCTGGCTTCTCACCCTTTCTTTTGATCTGGCAGCAGGCGGTAGATTGAGACACCGGGAAGATGATCGCACATGCGGCTGTTGACTACAACTTCGAGATAGACCTCGGGTTTGGCACCCATGCTCGTAAATCATGCCCAGGCGAGCCAAGCCAAGCGGATCCATCTGCTCGTTCGGGGAGTTGATGATCTGAAAACGAGGCACAGGGCCAAGGCTGTCTTATATTATGTTTTACAGAACTATATTATATATTCTATTGTTTCATTCAACCTTCAGATCCTGGCCTTGTACTCCATCTTTTCCCAGACGGTACCATCCTCCCACCTCAGGCAAGGAAGAGGAAGAGGAGCTCACCGGCCGGAGAGCCGGCCGGCGCCAGAATGCAGAAGTGGAGGCCCAAGCTCGATTCCTTTCACTTCCAGCTTCTTGTTGCTGAACCATTTTCCCTTGGCTTTTTTGCCTCCCTTCTCCTTGAAGGGAACTTCTATGTTTTTGTCGTCATACCTGGGAGACTGCTTTCTGCTCAAGTTCAAGTGCGAATTGAAGGCAGGCCGAGGCACTCCGCAAGGCACTCCCACACGTCGCCCTTTGGGGAGTCCTTGCGCGGCACATATGGCTGCTACGAACTTTGAATGCTTTAGAGGCAGCTGGGCCTTCCCCAAGATCGTGGCATAGCCGCCCAGCGCATCAATGTTCCGCAGGCAAGTCTCAAAGCAGTCAGACTGTAATCACCCTGCTACCCGCCTTGACGCTCCTGAGTTCTGCACACCCTCTGGGGTCCCTAACTCGGCCTTGCCACACCAGCCAGAAAGACTGTGAACGAGGAATACCATTTCTGGGCACCAGACATTCTCCTTGCAGTCTCTGCTGGTGTCCAGAAACGAACCATCCCACTTCTCTGTGCTGAAGCTGCTCTGCGCCTTCCACTGGTCACAGCCGAGCTTGCTACGCGAAAAAGGGATGCTAAGGTTGAAGCCTGCGCAGACTGGCGGGAAAAACCTTCGGCGACAAACAACTTTCGTCGCAATGCACACATGAAGAAGTGCCGAGAGGCACGAGGACGAAGCTGATGACAACACCGAGGACGACAACCAGGACGACACCAAACAAGCAAAATGCCATGGTCCGCAAACGGTCTTTCTTGACTACATGCAAGTGTTTGGCAATCTGGTTATGTTTGTGTGCATGATCGCTAACTTTGGAGTACGTCTTCTTGTGCTGGCTTTTGGTGTTCCAGTGTTGAGAACGTCACGTGGATAATTTTACGTGTGTTGGATGGGTGACTGCCAATATCTCCAAGCTGCTGTGCGATCATGTCTTGCTTGGCATATACCCGGTTGGCGTGGGTCAGCATTATCTTGGCAAGCGGCTTTTTGAAGATTTTGACAACGGGTATTGAGTCGTCAAGTGAACCGATTTGTGCACACTTATTCGCGCGGAGTCGTGGACCCGGGCCCTGGGTTCGAGCACCGCGGATCCACCCACAGCGGTGGCGGCACCGGAGTTCGAATGAACAAGGGGGCGGGAGGCGTTCACAAGGGCTTCGCAACACACCTGGCTCCGGTGTCCTTTAATGACGGAGCCCTACAAAGCGGCATCAACCCTGTACAACCCTCAAAACACACCCGAAACCAGGAGCTTCAAAGGGCGTCCAGCTATGTTGCGGATTGGCGTGTCCAGGACGTCCGTTGACATACCGAACATCCTGGCGACCCTAAACCCTAAAACCCGAATGAACCTCGGGTCCCAGACCCCAGGCCCTGGATTTTAATTTTCAGAAAGCCCGGAACCTGAAACCTCAAATACTCTGCACTTAATACCCCAAGATCCTCAACCCGACTCCGCAAACAAAGAAGCCTGAAACCCAGGCTGGTCATTGACCCTTTGCTGCTTGAATCGCGTGCACGTGCCCCTGGTTGCTGCTCCAGTGCACGAGCGAGAACGACTGAGGTGCCTGAATCACTGCCTGCATCGACGCAGAGCTCCGATCGGGAACAGTGCTCGAGACGCTTAGTCGCGCGAATACACCTCAACCACAAGTTTTGGGTCGTAGAGCAGCAAGGAAGTGACAACATGATGGTGACGAGGATGAGACGACAACGATATCAACGACAACGGCAACGACGTCGCAGACTAGGACGATTACAATCTGATTCCGATCTATGTGCGTGATTTACGTCAGCTCTGCTTCCCTGGCCTAGCAGACTGCCCACTGCTCCCAGCAGCAACCGACGTGGACCTGCAGGTGCTGTCTCGACGTTCTCTATCGAGTATACTCTTCGGCAGATGAGTGACACTGTTAACCGTCAGAGTTGCACGAGACTCCCACATCATGGAAGACCGAAGCAAACGACACAGCCCTATCCGAGACATGATGATACGGCTGCAGCTCTCACCAGATTGCTCCCAGCTGAACATACTGCTTTGGGATCGCGTCGTTGGCCTTCTGCACGGCCGAGGGTCACGAAGAGGGACCCAAGCCTGCCAGCTCTGCACGTCGCCGTCGAAGGAGATGCCAATGTAACACACACCGCAGGCCTGAGATGGACCACCAGCGCCACAGCCAAGGAGATCACCAGCAGGCGCCTTGTCAAAAGGCAGCAGCAACAACAACGAGTCGCAGGACAGCGCGCGAACGGGCCTTGAACGGCGCATTGGACCCTGGCCTCAAAGAGAAGAAGATGCTAAAATTTAAAAAAGCCCTCTGCATTGCTCTGCTCTTCTGAGAACCCAGCAGTACCCGGCCACGCTCCCGGCGCACCCAGGGCCTTGGCCTCTTTCATCTCTTGGGCCAGCAGCGGTCGAGGACTTCGAGTGCGCAATGACTTCGAGTCCGATTGCCCAAGCTTCAGATGAGACATCCACCCCCCCAATTTCGCCGCGCAATGGAGCTCGTGGAGGCTCGGTCTCTGCTCTAGTGCCAGCAATGCAGGTCTCCGCATGCTCAATGCTCACTGCATCAAATGGGCACCGGATCTCCTGCGCAGAGAGGGCGGAAACGCACCTCGCGCCTAAGAGCACTAGGTTTTCCCCGACGAAGATCAATCAATCGTTGTAATGGTCTTATGAGAGAACCAATTACCCGCCACTCAGAGTCAACCAAAGATTGCAAGTAGCACGCAGAAGGAGCTGCGAGCCCAAACAGCTTCGATGAAACGCTCAGGCAGGTTGAGCAGCACGAACTGCGGAATCCCATCCATGTAAACACAAGCCAAGTCCCTGCAGAAGGTAAAATCAAGCCCACCTCCTCCGATGCTGCGGCCGGGATCATGTAACAGGCCATGTGCCAGGAAGAAAAGCAAATACATCAAAGCCTGCTCTCTGCCATGACTCCTCGTTTTCTTGACCTCTGTGAACATAGTTGGAGTAATTATAAGGTCCGCACAGCATTGAAGATCACCCCGCCGACCCAAAGCAGCAAAACAATTGTTGTGATCGCTGCCTGAGAGATGGCAACACTGAAAGCCCGCTGACTCACATTGGCTGGGCTGGCGGCCAACAAAAGCCATCTCTGCATTGGCGACAAGACGACCTTAGCCACTTCTGCTTTTCTGAGCGGCAGCTCTCGCCTCTCAGAAGCTCGGTTGCTGACACCCCCCAGCTTGGGTGCCCAGTCGGGGTCTTCGTTCTTTTTCAAGAACAAAATCCACGTGATCACCTGCAGCAAAAGTTGGGCTCTCTCTGGCAATTCACCTCGCCCTCCCAAAGCCAAGCCAGCGGCCGTAAGCATGATGCACATCAGAGCAGATGGCTGGAGAATGACCGAAAGAACGAGTTGAACCTTGCAGGCTCACATGCATCTCTGCGCAGCAGCCAGCTGCTCAGCGAGCTCAGGGAGCGCGCCACGAAAAGGATAGCGTAGTTTGTCTGGTAGTTGAAGACGTTCGCCTAAAGAGACCAGGACAGCCCTCTTGGAGCGAAGAAAGGGCCTTGGCTCCTCTTCGGGCTCAGTGTTGAGCAGAAATTCGCGAGCAACCTTCATTCGCAGATGGAACCTGGCGTGAGAAGCCGCTCACAACCCGGCCTCTCACGGCCCTGTACCCTGCAGACAAAGCCGGAAGGGCCGAGAGTGGCCACGCGAACTGTCTCCACGGCCTGGGCCCAAGAAACTACCTCTCTGCCTCTGGCTCCAGCCGCCCGGGGCCCATCTTGGGTCTGGACTGCGCTTTGGACATGAAGCTACTGGCCTCCACACGTGCCGGAATATGCACATGACAGCAGGCACAGCAGCAAGCAGCTCCCTCCCCACCTGGTCCTTAACCTCGATTGCAGCTTAGATGCAAAAAAACATAACTCCAACATATCACTCCCAACTCAGCTCAGCTGCGGATCCTAAAGAGGTAGGAACCGCCGCACCGACTACTTGCTCCGTAGAGGCGCCTCACCGGCAGAAAGCCATCCAATCCGCTTTTCAAGCTCGGCTCAGTCTGAGGATCTTGCCGAGGGCGGTTCCAAACGTCTGCAGCAAGCTCAGCCGCCCTGCAACTAGTGGCATTTATCACTGTCGGACATGTGCAGAATTCCGTGCCTAGCAAGCTGGCGAAGCCAGAGGTTTGGGAGGAAGTATCAGCCTTAATCCAATTCCAAGATCTTGAAGAGGAGACCAGTACAAGGGCCGATCAGGCTTCGTGCTGACTCTTTGGCTGCTGTTATCTTCGGCGGTTCCTGGCACGTCCGCGTGCTGCGGCAATGAATCTCTGTCCGTCTTGGTCCGCCGCTGATCTACCTCGAATCCTCCAAGAGTAGTCGGTTGCTGCCTAAGAGGGCAAGGCCACACAACTTGACAACTGTTGCCCCACAATGCAACAGCATGCTGTTCGTTCATCAGCCACGAACTGCAAGTTCACAGTCGCCCTCGTTCCATTGTAAAAACCTGCCATGCCAAATATGCATTACACTATGCTGACTAGCTTTACCTACAGCCTTCCAGATCTGCATCAAATTTCACGTCTTGGAAAAGCTGGTCGTCCTCCATCCTCCAGCATTTTGCCAAAAATGCTATGGGTTCTCGAACTGTTGAAATTAATCACCTGCCTGCATCCGGGCGGTATCGCCAACACGAGACCGCGAAAGAGTGTAAAGAATCTGCGTACCGACAAGCCAAAGGCTGCGACAAGCGCTGCGAAAACCAGCGGTTCGAAGGAAGCTTCATCAAGTCATGAGTGCAGAGGCACGACTACATGCATTGGATCGCATTAGGCAACGATTACCACTTGACAAAGCTGGTCAAGCAATGCCTCGATGACCTTGGCTTGTCTTCTTCTAAGGGCAGTCACCAACCGCCATGAGTGGCAATTGCTTCAAGCTCGTGCAAGTTGACATGCGCAGGTCGACATTGTGTAGTTTCAAATTCCCGGCCTGTTGACTTGTTGCTCCCCTGCTAAGCCTTCAAGCTCCCAACGGTGCTCGGTGATTGGGCATGCCGTGGATGATCTTTTCTCGGAACATGGACTTCCTCATTCGTTCTATCTTTGCCCTCATCATCAACATTGCCACTTCATCCGCTGTTCATCCTCATTTTTATGTAAGTCGTCTTCATCAACATTTTATACTTTTCATAAATCTCACTCTCACTCGTGTCTCACATTCATCATGTCGCCTCACCCGCGTTCTAGGACTAGCCCACGTCACACGTTTTACGATTCTTAATACATTAACATTAAAAATAGCTGTTAAGCTTCGTCAAAAACATAATTTACATGGTTCCATATTTACAAGTTAAATACAATAACTATTCATACGTTAAAATTTTCCATAGCTCCATTCGTTAAAGCTTTGCATAACGTTCTATCAGGATATGATGTACGATAATATGAAAATTTTGAATATTTATTCAAGAAAACTATACAAGGGTGAAAGCTTCAAAGAGCTAACTAAAAAGGGCCGGCAAAAACCGCAGGTTCGAAAACTACGTCATCTACCCTGTTCGGCACCGGCAGTACTGCACAAGCCTCTCAGCGAGCTAACCCTCCAAACTGTACAACGAAG